TGATAAGATCATGTGATTTTTGTCTTTGCTTTTGTTTATGTGATGTATTACATTTACTGATTTGCAAATACTGAACCATCCTTGCATCCCTGGGATGAATCCCACTTGGCAATGGTGTATAATCTTTTTGATATATTGTTGGATGCGATTTGCCAATATTTTGTTGAGGATTTTAGCATCTATGTTCATCAGCGATATTGGCCTGAAGTTTTCATTCTTTGTTGTGTCTCTATCTGGTTTTGGAATTAGGATGATGCGGCTTCATAGAAAGAGTTCTGGAGTTTTCCATCATTTTGGATTTTTTTGGAATAGTCTGTGAAGAATAGGGGTTAGCTCTTCTTTAAATGCTTTGTAGAATTCTCCTGTGAAACCATCTGGTCCAGGGCTTTTGTGTGATGGGAGTTTTTTGATTACTGCTTCAATTTCATCTGCTGTTATTGGTCTGTTAAGGTTTTCTGCTTCTTCTCTGAGTTTTGGAAGATTATATTTTTCTAGAAATTTGTCCATTTCACCTAGGTTTCCAAATTTCTTGGCATACACTTCTTCAAATTTCTTACAATCCCTTCTATTTCTGTGGTATCAGTTGTAATCTCTCCTCTTTCATTTCTCATTGTGTTTATTTGTTTCCTCTCTCTTCTTTTCTTGATGAGCCTCCATAAAAGTTTGTCTGTTTTGTTTATCTTTTCAAAAAACCAGCTCCTGGATTCATTATCCTTAGAATTGTGCTTTTAGTCTCTATGTCATTTAATTCTGCTCTAATCTTGGTTATTTCCTTCCTTCTGCTTGCTCTGGACTGTCTTTGTTGTTGTTCCTTGAGTTCTTGCAGGTGTAGGGTTAGGTTGTTTGTTTGAAATGTTTCTATCTTCTTTAGGTAGGCCTGCATTGCTATGAACTTCCCTCTTAGGACTGCCTTCGCTGTGTCCCATAAGTTTTGGGTTGTTGTGAGTTCATTTTCATTTGTTTCCAGAAACATTTTGATTTCTTCCCTAATTTCATTCTTGACCCATTCGTTGTTTAATAGCATACCATTCAGTCTCCATGATTTGGGGTGTTTGGGGTTTTTTCCTTTGGGGTTGGTTTCTAGTTTCAGTCCCTTGTGGTCGAAGAAAATGCTTGGTATGATTTCAATTTTCTTGAATTTGTTGAGGCTCGTTTTGTGTCCTGTCCTATCATGTGGTCTATCTTTGAAAATGTTCCATGTGCATTTGAAAAGAATGTGTATTTACCTTCTTTGGGATGAAGGGCTCTATATATATCGGTTAAGTCCATTTCATCTAGGGCATTGTTCAATGCCACAACATCATTGTTGATATTTTGTTTGGAAGATCTGTCCATTTTTGACAGTGGAGTATTAAAATCCCCTACTATAATTGTGTTGGTGTCAATATCTCTCTTGAAATCCTCTAAGATTTTCTTTATATATTTGGGTGCTCCTATGTTGGGTGCATATATATTTACGATGTTAACGTCTTCTTGGTGGATTCTTCCCTTGAATATTGTGAAGTGACCTTCTGGGTCTCTCTTTATGGCTTGTTTTTTGAAGTCTATTTTGTCTGACATGAGTATTGCTACCCCGGCTTTTTTTTTTCCTGGCCGTTTGATTGGAAAATTTGTTTCCAGCCCTTCACTTTTAGTCTGTGTAGGTGTTTTGTCCTGAGGTGGGTCTGTTTTAGGTGGCATATGTGTGGGTCATGCTTTCTTTTTTTTTTTAATTTTATTTAGTTATTTTTTTTTAATTTTTTGCAGTTTAAATTTAATGGGCTATGAATCTCAGTTGATACGTTTTACAATGTATTCTTTTTATTTATTTATTTATTTATTTATTTATTTTAATTTTATTTAGTTATTTTTCAAGTACAGTTTTTTTGTCTATTTCTCCCATCCCAGCCCCCCTGCCCCGTGCTCCCCCCCCCCCCTCCCATTTCCTCCCCCCCCCTTAGTTCTCGTCCCTGTGTCCTTCCTATTTGTTCCTCCAAATCCCTCCCCCTTTCATGCTTTCTTATTCATTCAGCTATTCTATGTCTTTTGATTGGAGCATTTAATCTATTTACGTTTAATATTATTATTGATAGGTACTTATTCATTGCCATTTTTGTACCTGTGTCCCTCTCTGTCTCTCTTTACCTTCCTTAAAGCAGTCCTTTTAGCATCTCTTGCAGAGCTGGTTTGGTGGAGGCATATTCTTTTAGACTTCTTTTGTCTTGGAAGCTCTGTATTTGGCCTTCCATCTTGATTGAGAGCCTTGCTGGGTAAAGTATCCTTGGTTGCAGGCCTCTGGTTCTCATTACTTGGAATATTTCTTGCCATTCTCTTCTATCTTGGAGCATTTTCATTGAGAAGTAAGTATCTAACCTCATTGAGAAGTCAGTATCTAACCTCCCTTGTGTGTTACTTCCTTTTTCTCCCTTGCTGCCTTCAAGATTCTCTCTTTATCTTGAAATTTTGCCATTTTAATGATGATATGTCTTGAAATGGGCCTCTTTGTGTTCCTCTTGATTGGGACTCTCTGTGATTCCTGGATTTGTGTGACTTTTTCTCTCATCAAATTAGGGAAGTTTTCCCTCATTATTTTTTCAAATAGGTTTTCTATCTCTTGTTCTTATTCTCCTTCTGGTATCCCTATTATCTGGATATTATTATGTTTCATATTGTCTTGCATTTCTCTTAATCCCTCTTCATTCTTTCTGAGCCTCTTTTCCTTTTCTTGCTATTTCTGTGAGTTTTTTCCTACTTTGTCCTCCACCTCACTGATCTAATCTGCTGCTTCATTGACTCTGCTTTTGATTCCTTCTACTGTGTTCTTCAATTCAGAAACTGTATTTTTTATTTCCTCTTGGCCTTTGCTGATAGTTTCTATTTTCTTTTTCATGTTGATATAGTTTGTGGTGAGATCGTTGTAGCTCACCTATAGTTTCTGGTAGCTCATTGTGAGCTCTTTGAACTGTCTGATAACCAGTGCTTAGAATTCAATATCTGATAGCTGACTTGCCTCTATTTCATCTAACATTCTTTTTGAGGCTTCCTCCTTTTCTTTCATTTGGGGATTGTTTCTTTGTCTTCCCATTGTTTGTGAGACTCTTCTTGTTTGCTTCAGATTCTTAAATTGATTTGTTCTGACTCCCTGGGTTTATGGTGTGAACTTCTGTGGTGGAATGCTTGTGAAATTCAGTGGTGCAGTCTCCTTCAGTTATCCTGGCATTCTCTGCCTCCACCTACTCCTTTTTTAGGGTAATCAGTTGGAGAGGGAGGCAAAGTGGTTTATGACAGCGAGAGAGTATTTTATATTTACAGTCACAGCCAGTAGAGAAGAGATAGAAGATCTTTAGGCTATATATAGTGTTAACCATAATCTTCAACCCAACTTGCCACTTTTAAGAGAGGATGGACACAAGATAAGTCTCTTGTTGGACAGGGAAGGCTAGTGAGTTGGATCTAGAAAGCAGTGAGGTTGTGGTCAGTCAGATTCTGGGGTAAGGTGAGAGTAAAAAATAGTAAAAGGTGTAGTATGTGAGCAAATAGAGTTAATTACTCCAGTAATAGAATTCAGGAAACTGTGAAGTGGACTAAGATCTGGGAGATGTGTTGTGAAGTATTTAGAGTTGTATAGAACAGCTATTATTTATCAGCTGTTATCTAATATTATTGAGCAACAATAATATTAGAGCAAGAATCATATGACAGACTATGTGATCTCTCTGAATGGGGGGTATAAAACTTTGGGTAGTATGCTAAAGGAATACAAGTGACATGAAGTATAGAAAATTAGCAATACACTGTGGAAGAGAGAACAGGGGAAACCTGTCAAATGATACAATATAACCAGCCAAGGCAAAGAAGCCTATACAGAAAGAGGAGGGATACAAAGATACTATTAAAATATAAAAGAAGTGAGAATAATGAAAAAAATAATAATTATACAAATATGCAGCAACTTGTGGCTTCTCCGCTATAACAAAGTGAAATTTGTCTCTCTGACTCTACTGTTGGGAAGCCTCTTCTTTGGGTCCAGCTCTCGTCTTTTCGCAGTTCCAAGTTGTTTGTGTTACTTGTGGGTAAAAGAAAACAAAGCAACAAACAAATAAACATACAAAAAAAGGCAGGAGAAGGGAGGCAAAAGCTGTAAGTTTGGGAAGAAAGGAAGAAGGACTAAAACAGGAAGAAAGAAAGGAGAGGAATAAAGTATTGAAAGATAAAGCAATAATAAAATTAAAAAAATATAAGATTACTGTTCTATCTTGACCGGAAGCGCTGTTTTTATATATTTCTATTATTTTATTTTACAAATTTATTTTTTTAGATATATCAGTTTTAAATAAATATTATAATATGTTATAATAATTGAAAAAAAAAAAAACATGTTCTTGGCTCTCCAGGTTGCTTTCAATTCAACACAAGCGCACCATGTCTCAGTGAAGTGATATTAAAGTATACATACCATTTTGAATTCTACATTTTTTCACTTAAAATATAGTAAACATCCCCCTTATTGTGATATAATCTTTATAACCATTACTTTTGACTTTTTAATTTTCATATATATTCCCATATTTTAAGACTTTATGTTGTATCCTAATTATGGACTGGAAATAATGCTATGATAATCATTTTTTGTGCCTAGTTTGTCTCTATCTTTATAATATATTCTCAGAAATGGAATTATTGAGACAATTGACCTATATATTCTTATGATTTTTATAATACATATTACCAAATTCATTTATAAAAGAGTGGTATCAGTTTACACTGCCATAAAAAATTTGCAAGAATGTCTGTTTTATCATACCCTTACTTCCTGATTTATCTTTGCTAAGTTAGAAATGAAAAATTTAGGGAATAGTCTATGGCCATACCACCCTGAAAGCACTCAATGTCATCTGAAAAACTTAGGGAGTAGAGTTTTACATTGCACTGATACCTGCTGCATCTTACAATCAAAATTGAATCTGCTACTTCGAGGTATGATCCAGCCTCAACTTCTTTTAGTGATAGTAATTACCTACCTGGACCCAATAGGTATTAACCAGAACTTCTTATTGTCTCCGAAAACCTGCTGGATATTTTTGATGAAGCCAAGGTTGAACCCATTTTTCTTTGGGCCACTTGTAAACACTGGAGTACAGAAGGCCTCTGTGGCAGGGTAGGGGAGTTAAAGAAAAGAGGAAGAAAGCAATAAGGGAATAAATTTCAGGACCATCATGATTTTACAGTTCTCTCTTAAGGTGACTTGGTTCTATACCTTTTTGTTATGGTAGCATAGGCCCTTCATTCTTAGCTACTGCTAAACTACTTAGTAAAAACCACTTTAAGCACTTAATACAAAGTAAGTTTGTTATTCTTTTTTTAAAAAATGGCAGAAAGAAAACACATGATGGAAGAAATAATTAAGCAGCCATGGGCATAAAATATATTTCTATGCTGCATATAAAGGGCAACACAATAAATTTAATAATACTTTATTTGAATCTACTTAACAACAGCAACTGAATGATCTCCATCTTTAGGGTTGGGGCCAAAGCAATGGCACATAAAAAGATGATCATAACACTGATTTGGTTTTGAATCATTTCAGAAATATAGATGTTCACACTGAAGCCTGCAGTGTAAGAAACAGGGTGAACTATAACCACCTTAAATACTATGAGGAACTGGACCATGGCAGGGAACATTATATTTAAACACACATTTCTTCCATTAAGCAAATACTTTCACTGATGGACTTTGGCTGCATCTGGCCATTTCCTTTTTGTTCTTTGTTTTCAGAGTCTTTTATCATGAAGCTTTTAGTACTTTTTCATTTGCAGCTGAATCTACCACCCTAGCAACTAAGTGCTACATATATATTTGGTTTAGAAAATGAGTGCAAATGCTTTCTTACCTATTAGTGTAATTAACAAATGAGTTTAAAAGTATAGTGGCTTTTGTACTAAACTTTCGTCAAATCTATTTTAGCTAAACATTCAACACTTCAGCACTTTCTCCTTAGTCCTCATGCATGAATTTATATACAATGTAAATATTTCTTTCACCATAGATGAAAAAATTGTTGTACTAGAATCCATCAGAAATACAGTTCTCCAAATAATATCCCAAAGTAATGGACAGAAAAAAATGTTCATTTCTTCTACTCATTTTCTAGAGACTCAATTATTTAATGTATTTATCTCATTCTCATAGTCCCTACACAGCTCCTTGATGATTATGGATAGTCAATGATTTGTTGGTTTGAATTCTTTCTCAGGACTCAATTTTTTGATGTGCTCAATACATTAGATTGTTCCATCTCTATTGACCTTTACTTCCTCCTTCAAGCATACACTTCTATACTGATTCTCTCCTTCACTTCTTCATGTGAACACAATTTTGAAAAATTTCAAGCTGTACACCTAGAGAGCTACTATGCAATCTGAAGTATAAAGAGCAATGGTCATTTTTGGTTTATCATGAGGTTTTATTCACTAATGCTTTCTCCAGTATGTAAGCTTCATTCATCATGGCTCCCCAGTTTGGTAAAATGTGTTTATATGTCTCAGTTTGGAGACAAGGGGATGTCACTGCAGCTAAAATGCTTCAAGGGAAGTTTGTGTATTCCTTGGGAACAACACACAGGTCACTGTGATATACATTAATATGTTTTTTCCCTAATCTTAATAGCCAGTCTTACCTAAGGTGGTTTTATTTCTGCTGACAAGCCAACAATGGTAACCAAAGAGAATCACAAGGCTGACAAAAAACATGCAGGCCACAAAGAGGAGAAAAAGGACATGGAACTTAGAGCGAACACTTGGCAATTCCCCCTAGAAAAGAAATAATAAACAGAAACAAAAGGTTAAAGTGGTGAGGCTTGGCTAGCTTTTCTATATTGGTTTGTAATTTTTCATATGTTTAAAATGTCTAGCTGTAACTTAAAAATAGTTTTTTAATATATTTACAAGACTTCTTTCTGTTGATGACCATGCCTCTTATGGGTATGCTTTCAGTGTAACTCCAAAATGGATTTTTTCTTAAGTGCAGTTCAGTGTCAGAGTCTATATTGTACCCACTAGAAAAAGGTAATGTGAAAAGGGTATACTCAGTCCATAATTGGTATGCAATGTCCTAAGGCTTGTTCTCCATTTAGTTTCCAAATTATGAACCATAGGCTACAGGTAATTTTGAGATCATACAGTTCATCCTCTTATCTTAAGGTGGGTTATTCTGCAATACTTTATATGTCATGTTTCTTTGGATGCTGTGTATTGAAAATGCCATGGTGATCTGTATGGGAAGTTAAAATACATACGTAGAATTTTAAAATGTTCTTCTCATAAGCCATGGCCTTATTTCAAAGGTACTACTAATTCTGTGTGGGTTTTTTTGATATATTACCTCCTGTAAAAATTACTGTTGAGACAGTAAAATCAAGCAGTATTTGACAGGCTAATTTAAAAGTATGCAGCTAAATATTTTTATAGATGTCTCCATTTTCTACGTTTGCTCACCTCCACCTAGCCCTCACCCCTTTTTCCCTTGGGCCATCACCACACTTTAGCTAGGACATCTTGTCCTCTATGTGGCACCAGATTTTTAAAAAATGTGCAGCCCTAGACCAAAATGAATTTTCTAAAGTTCTATAGCATGCACAGCATGTAACATTTCATTTTCTGAAGAAAATATTAGAAAAAATTCAATTCTGGAGTGAGCAGTTGTGAGAATGACTTTTCTTCCTTCCCTCCTTTCCTGTGCTGATCATTATTTTCACATGAAAAATTATTTTCAAATATTTCCAAGTGATCTCGAGTGATATAGTTAAAGGTAATTCTTGAAGTGGACCTTACATTAGGATCTGGTTCTACTCTAGCTTGGAAGGAGAAAATTAAAGCTGGAAAACACTTGGCAAATTTGGGTAGTATAGGCTTTTTTTCTTCTCTTAGAGGAGGAGATTTTTATTTATTTTTGATGTAAGGAAGTACTGGGAATCTTCCAGACTGAGTGGGTTTGAAGAACAAAGAGAAGCAGAATTAAGCCAGTGAGATGCTTTCATCTGAGGCGTGGTCTGGGTGAAATTGCATAAAATTTGCACCTCAGAAAATAGCTATCTCTATTAGCTAGGACTTCAACCTTCAGGAACTTTTATCTGAAGCTCCCTTTTAAATGATACCTCTTGGCCTAAGCACTGAAACTGAATTCAGTTGTTTTTTGCTTGTTTTGTTTTGAATTTATATGAAAAACACCATATATTATTTTGTAGTGTTTGTTGTTTGGTGGGGTTTTTATTTCACATCTCTACTTTTTGAGTATTTTTTAAAGCTTTTAAACTCATATTTATTTTAATATTTACCTTTTATGTTAAAATAGAAAATGACTATGCAAAAGGGAATGACATAAAGTCAGTTCACACCCTGGATAGCTGAGCTGGAAGTCTTTCCCCTAATTACTCTTACAGGACTCTCTATTACTTGCCAAATCTTATCTACTGTGTTGTCCCTTGATAAAATACTTAATATTTACCTTTTTTTGTTGTTAGAAGAGGGTGATGGCCCTATGTTGAAAATTACCTTCTAGGAGATAACCAAACTAAACTACTAAAAAAAAAATAACCACCAGAAACAGTTCAGGGAAACACTGGTGACATAATACCTATTATCTTTGTTCTAACATAATTCACAGCCTCTGTGAGGAGTCTCATAGCCCAGAACTGGAGATGTATATTACTAATTTTTATAAGGTAAAGATCAACTTCCTATCAAGGAAGCAACTTTTATGTTAATATTGAGAGGAAAGACACAATCCAATGGTCTTCTGAATTCTTTATTTCAAAGGAGATAGAGCTTCTCCATAGCAGGACCATTTGGGCAGTAAGATCACTGGGCTTAGAGTCAGATTCAAATCTTGACTTTGAAACTTACAAGCCGGGTAATCCTGAGCATGTCACCTAACTACAATAAGCCTCAGTTTTCTCATCTTTAAATGAGACTAACAATTCCTGCTTTGTTTACTTCACAAGGCTGTGGTGAGGATAAAATGAGATAATAGATGTAAAGGTGCTTTGAAAATGGTAAACTACCATACAAATGAATGTTGCTATTATTAGGAGCACAGCTAGTTTCCTTGATATGATAGCTTTTAAAATAAATGGCACTGTTTACTTTTCATTATAAAGGAGACCCGATTTACACTGAAAAAGCCATCTGTAAACCACGCCAAAGTGCTCTCTGGCTGGAGAAACTGCAAAGAAGCATTTCTCTGAACTGTCAATGTCATTTTCATTATGAAGGCGAGCCAAGAGAGGTTCTTTGCCTCTCATCTGTCAGGCAAGAGCTAGTATATTACAAAGAAGAAATAAAGGCATAGGACAGGACAAGGCTATGTTCACTCCTTATAATGCTTGTGAATATTGACATATTTCTGGTGATTGATTCCTATCCAAATATTAGCTTTCAAGAGTAAAAAACAACAACAAAAAAAAACCATATGGCACCTGGCTGGCATTTTGGTATTTGATTATTGGATGATTAGGAATGCCAAAGACAAAATGTGTTGTTTACTCTGTTGTGAGAGTATAGAGCAATTCTTAAACAGTAGCTTACTGTGTTAAGGACCAGTAAAGTCTGTAGTGAAGACTAGGGCTGAACTGGATGCAGTAGATTTTATTTACTTTCAGGGCAGTAGCTCAGTGTATGAATAAAAGGCCAAACATACCATAAAAGTGAACAGTAGATAAGAGAATTTGTGCTGTGGAAAAGGGCCAACAAAGAAAAACCAACATGATGACATATTTTGAATTTGGGGAAAACACAAAATTGATGAGAACACTTCATTTCTGCTTATACTTTTGAGTCTCTGAGTTAAAGATTTTGATACCCATTATACCATTCCTGATTCTTAAAGTTATTGAATATCTGAACTGATTAAGTAAGTGGACGGGAGAATGGAAAATACATGTCACTATAATTTTCTACACTACATTTCCTATATTAGTAGGGATGAATCACTATTTAACAATTTAAATATTCTCAGCTATTTAGATTTTCACTCAGCTATTTAGAAACGCCTTGCTTTTCTCCCTTTTTTTCCCTCCAGTTTATTATAATCCACATTCTGGTCACAGGATTCATGTTCTTTCCCTGCTACTTTACCTCTCTACCTGATGTGAGATATTCGTGTTATACAGGCTCTAGTTTAATTCCTAAAACAATAACTGGTAGCTCTGCCTACATTTGTCTTCTGTTATTCAGACTCAGTTTGGACAATTCTCTTCCTGGAAGGTTATGATGTCTTTGTAATTGCACTAGAGTTGTGCAAAGGTCATGTCTTCTGGAGTCTGTTGGCATGAAACAAAACAACATGTTTGACTATATTTAAGCCAGACCCTGTACACATGTGTAAACTGAAAATCTGCTTTCAATTCTTTTGGAAATAAATGGGATATGATTGGTATCTTCAAGTACAAGAAAGATGAAAGTAGAAATTTTTTTAGATTTCATTATAATTATTGGGATCATATTTTGAAAACTAGAGTGCTTTCAACATCTATTTTACTTGATTTTGTCAATGAGCCAGTGAAGCAGGTAACTGAGCCAATATTAGAACTCCAGCTATACAAAGTTCAAATAAGACTCCTCACTTCATTTTGGTCATATGTGAAAATGAGTCAATGTATCTTTCTTTCCAGTAGGAATTTTGGAACTCTCCTTTGAATAAGGAATTAGAAATTATTTTCTAACAATGAGGGACTACTTTGTTACCCCTTTTTCTTAAGAAACTAAGGATGTAGAATTTGTTTCAACATTTCTCAAATCTATGGTTGGTAAGATGTGAATTTTTAAAACTTTACTAGAGAAATACATTGTAAAGAATCAGTAAAAGTCAAGAGTTCAGGTTCCTGAAGGCCTTAAAAAAATTCTCATATATGACCAAAAAATTGTTCAATGGGAATCTTTCAATCTCCTGCATCACAGAATATTCAACATGGGAAACTTGCTTTTGGTGTCTTCCCTTCTGATAACTTCCATATTAGCTATTTAAAAATGTAAAAAAAAAAGATAAGGTGAACAATGTCACAGACTGGAGTAGGTGTGTGTTTGTTTTTGGGGGGGGGCTTCAGGATTTTTAAACTTACTCTCCAGTATTTGATGAAATAGCTGAAGACCGTTGTAGCAATGTACAGGCAGTAGAGAACAGAATAAGCTAAGAACTGAAGGAAGAATTTATAGTTGGAAAATCCAATGCAATTATTAACCCTGAAAAAAAAAAGAAAAACTAATTTTAAATCAGGACCCATTTAATGAGAACACACAGATACATAAGTGAATTAAGCAATGGAAGTATATGTTGCTCCTGATGTTTCATTATGTGTTGCGTAGGAACTCAACAGAAGCAAAGTCCCTTGAGAGGAACAGATTGGAAAAACAAGTTCATGTCTCATTTGTTTCTACTTTCATTTACAGGCACAGAGACACTTGGCCATTCTAATCATTCTGGACTGGTTCCTGACACACCCAAGCAAATCCAGATTTTGGATGCTAAAGACATATTAAAATCTTAGCAACTACACTTAGTACAGTGTGGCATGTTCTCTTTGTGTTTAGATAATTTCAGACTGGTTCTGTAGATCAGAGAGGGAAAATTTGAAGAACTGCTTAACAATCGAGTATTTCAAATATCAAGATAACAAAAAACAAAACAAAACAAAACAAAAAACCCTGAATTGATTGTGTAATATCAAAGAGAAGAACTATTTGTGCTCTATTTCATTATTATGCCTAATTACTAAAGCTAATGGACAAGAGACCATTAACTTTGTGACCACAAGAATTCTCTACCATGCCTTTGGTGGCATATTCACTGTTGCTTTTAAAATGTTAAGCCCCCTGTTCCTCCCACACATAAAAAGACCAGTGAATAGCAGAATCAGGCATGTTACAACTACACTTAGTAAAGTAGGCATATAGAGTAATGTTGACCTTTTTAGAGAAAATAATTAAATAAAAGGGACTTACCAAGGGCAGTGATGGTCCATTTTTAATACACACCTAAACAGGGAGCAAAATACAGTGTAATGAATAGGGCTATGGAAATGCAGCAGTACCTCGTAATTGAACTCAAAGTCTCACCAGTATTTTGTACGTGATGCCAGTACACTCATTCCTAAATTTCCTACTACTATAAAACTATTGTGTTCTCAGTTCTTCCTATAATTAGCTAATCACAACAATTTATAGGATCATGCTGGTAATAAGCTACATGCCTAAAAAACCAACCTTTAAAAGGGATTGTGGACTTCCACCAAGATGGAGGTGTAGGTGGAAACACTCTGCCTTCTCTCACAACCAAGTTTAAAAACAATAAAGTTTTAGCAACAAAAACACAGCCAAACCACAGAAAATTGAACTATACGGAAGTCTAGTTCTGACAACAACGAACCCTTCAGCCACACTGGTAAGAGGGGCAGAGCCAGCAGCAGAGCGGGGTAGGGCAGGAAAGATCCACTGGACCGACCACAGCGCAACCCATGCAGGCAGTGGGCAGATCCCAGGTGTGGAGGAGCAGTGGGCGGATCCACTGAGGGTAAAAGGTGGCAGACCCACTGAGGGCTGATCACGGTCACACATTCGTGCACTGATAACTGGAGAAGGACCAAGCAGTGAGACTGAGACAGACCGTGCAGGCCCCAGCAGAGAGGGGACCACCATTGTCCCCATTGTCCTCTCTGACCCCACCCCCACATACAGTGTCAAAAACCAGCGACCTGGGGGGCCCCGCCCTGGTGAACACCTAAGGCTCCTCTCCTCATACTTAACAGGCGCAAACAGATCAAAACATTATGGCTCAAGAAAAACAGCTCAAAGCCCCAGAGCCCATAACTCTAAGCACTGAAGAAAAAGCCAAACCTTCAGATGCAGAGTTCAAAACACTGGTGATCAGGATGCTCACAGAACTGGTTGATTATAGTCACAAATTAGAGGAATATATGAAGGCTAAACTAATTGAAATGAAGGGAAACATACAGGAAACCAATAGTAATGGAAAGGAAACTGGGACTCAAATCAAGGGAGTGGACCAGAAGGAAGAAAAAAATGACCAAACAGAAAAGGATGAAGAAACAAGAATGCAAAAAAATGAGGAGAGGTTTAGGAACCTTCAGGACATCTTTAAACATTCCAACATCCAAATTATAGGTATACAAGAAGGGGAAGAGGAACAGCCACAAGTGGAAAATTTATTCGAACAAATAATTAAGGAGAACTTCTCCAATCTGGCCAAGGAAATAGACTTCCAGGAAATCCAGGAAGCTCAGAGAGTCCCAAAGAAGTTGGACCCAAGAAGGAACACACCAAGGCACATCATCATTACATTAGCCAAGATTCAAATGAAAGAGAGAATTCTAGAAGCAGCAACAGATAAGGGGACAGTCACCTACAAAGGAGTTCCCATCAGACTGTCAGTGGATTTCTCAAAAGAGACCTTACAGGCAAGAAGGAGCTGGAAAGAAGTATTCTAAGTCATGAAATCCAAAGACCTACAACCAAGATTGCTCTATCCAGCAAAGCTTTCATTTAGAATGGAAGGACACATAAAGTGCTTCTCAGATAAGATCAAGTTCAAGGAGTTCATCATCAGCAAGCCATTATTATATGAAATGTTAAAGGGACTTATCTAAGAAAAAGAAGATAAAAAAGATGAACAGTGAAAGGACAGCAAACTCACAGTTATTAAGAACCACACCTAAAACAAAAGTAAACTAAGAGGACAGCTAGATCAGGAGTGAACCACAGAAATGAAGATCACATGGAGGGTTAGCAACAGGGGAGTGGGAGAAGGAGAAGGGGAGAGAAGGTACAGAAAATAAGTAGCATAGATGGTAAGTAGAAAATAGGGGGGAGGACAAGAATAGTACGAGAAATATAGAATCTAAGGAACTTGAGATACGTGGTCATAAACTAAAGGGGGGAAGGGTGGGGGAGGGGTGTGCAGGGTGAAGGGGAATGAAGGGGGGGAATAAAGCAACTGTAATGGCATAATCAATAAAATATATTTTAAAAATGGATTGTGAATTCTAGGATATTGATACAAAGAAGTCTAAGATAGCATCTCTCAGTTTGCTCAGTACTTAGTTTACTAAAAGTACAGAAGAAAATATATGGTTACAGACTGTGTTTAAATCAAGAGTGAAATAAATACAGGTGGAACAAGTATCCAAGAAAGATATGAAGATTATATTTATTAACATAAAATGGGGTTTTACAAAGCTGAAGCAATTTGAGTAACAATATAAAGTAGTACTGAATATAACACAAAATATAAAATAATTTCCATACCTATATAATGATATAAATAAATGATTGGATAAATAAATAAATAAATGAAGAAGAGACAAATAACCCATGCAGAAGAATTCAAAATAACATATGTAGATATTCTGCCTTCAAGGAGGGGGAGCATAATTCAGTCCTTTAGTGACTTCCTTCCAAAGAGTACATTTTGGAAAGCGGGAGAGTCACTTTATAGTGGAGATATCTGACAAATGCTATCTCAAGCCAGATTATCAAGATTAACATCACAGTGGTAAGTCATGTTTATACTATGTACTATGATACCATATCATGTTATACTATGATATGATACAGTGAGAATGGCACTATATCTCTATGGTCTTCCTCCCCAAAATACATTACCTAAGTCTATTCTTGAGAAAAATCCCAACTGAAGTATATTCTACAAAATACCTGATAATCCTAAAAGCTGTCAAGGTTATAAAAAAAAGTAAAGCCCTGGCTGTATGGCTCAATAGATTGAGTGCCAGCATGCAAACCAAAGGGTCACAGGTTCAACTCCCAGTCAGGGCATATGCCTGGGTGGCAGACCAGGTCCCCAGTTGTGGGTGTGTGAGAGGCAACCACACATTGATGTTTGCCTCCCTCTCTTTCTCCCTCCCTTCCCCTCTGTAAGAGAAATAAATAAAATCTTTTAAAAATAAAATAAATAAAGTCTGATAAACTATCACAGCTAAGAGAAGCCTCAGAAGACATGACAACTAAATGTAATGTGGTGTCCTGAATGGGATGTTAGAACAGAGAAAGAACACTAGAGGAAAACTGAAGAAATCTAAATAAAGTATAGATTTCAGTAAAAAAATAATTATATAAATATTTGTTCATTAATTGTAACAAATTTACCATATTAATATAAGATGTTAATAGTAAAGAAACTTGCTGTCGGACATATGAGAACTATCTTTATAATAATTCTATTAATCTAAAACTGTTCTAAAATAAAATGTTCAGTTTTAAAATGGGGTTTGATTTTTCTTTCCTATCCTTAGAATAGTTTGTTTTTTAAATCATTTTATTGTTGTTCAATTACAGTTGTCTGCATTTAACCCTAGCCCCTCCCCCTAACCCCAGCCAAACCCACCTTCTTCCTTTTCTCCCACCCCCACCTTGGTTTTGTCCATGTGTCTTTAGAATAGTTTAAATCATCATCCCTGTGAGGGTATTTGGCATGCACTCATTATGATTGACAGGAAATGTTTTCATTTAGGAATGATTACATCTTAAGATCATCAGTCTGACTGTTGTCTAGACAATGCCATCAATGGCCAAGCTCAGTCTAGGGGAAATATATCTGTCACTTACATAGCACAGACAGAGCAGTGGTGGCAGCGATCTGGCTTGATCAAATGGCACCGGTCACAGAATCTTACAGCTATAAGAAAAACATGGTGGTTAGCATTGATTATGGCTCAGTGTGATACCATGTATCTTCCCAGCCTATCTGAATAGCTTGCTATACACTGATTATAAGTAGTCAAACACTTTTCATTATCAAGTAAAAACAGACTGCATAAGAGAATTGTGGTATGTATTTTTCCTGTTGTATCAATATTTCTTTTTTAAAATACTAGCGATAGTATATTTAGAAGTTTACAGAGGTAGAAAAAGTGAGCCAGCTTAGGAAACAATTTACAGAGGCAAAAGAGGGCCCTTTAGAGATTAGGGGAGAGAGAGTGAGTGGCAGGAGAGGGAGTGGGGGGATAGGGAGAGAGAGAAACAGAAAGGGGGAGGGAGAAGAAGAGGGAGAGGGGGAGAGAGAGAGAGAGAGCACTCAAAGGCAATACACCTGGGGGAAGAAGATGGGGAAAGGTGTGAGCATGCTCCAGAGCCAGGGAGAGGGGCTGGAGAGAGGGGAGAGAGAAAAGCAGTGGGTGGGGAAAGGTTCAGGCATACTCAAAGAGAGAAAGAAGTACCATGTTGTGTTATATAAATCTTAAAAGTGTTTTTGGGGGATGAAGATAAGGGAAAAGTTTTTATATCTTAGGATAAGATAATATACCTAATTATAACATTTTATATTATAAAACAAACCATGATGTCAACTGCTTGAGTGATCTTGGGAAAATCATTTAGCCTCTGTTTACTTCAACTCTCATATCTGAAAAGTAGGATTCATAGTTTATCTTCTGATTCCAGAGGCTTTATTCTATGATATAGATAAATCCATAAAGCATGGTAAATATGCTGGTTCTTAGCAGCATAACAATTTGAAGAACAGAAGAGATATTCTAGAAAAATTACATCAAGTGATCATTTCACAGATAAAAGAAGTAAAGACCTGAGTCAAACCAAGTGAATTATATAAGGTCACACACTGAGTAAGTGGCATGGCTGTGACCGGTACAGTTTTCCTGAACCCATAGTTCAGGGTTCTCTTTACTTTAAGTCTGATATGAAAAATCATTTCTCCCTTCCTCTCTCTCTTCTTTCTTACATTATTTCCATTACATAAAAGGCATTCACTTTTTTAATTAAAAAAATCTTTCAATTACAGTTGATATATATATATATATACACACACACACACAAAATAGTATATTACTTTCAGGCATACAACATGGTGATTACCTTACAAAGTGGTCACCCTGATAATTCTAGTACCCATCTGACACCATACATAGTTATTACCATATAATTGACTATATTCTCTATGCTGTACTTTACATCCTCATGACTATTTTGTAACTGCCAATTTGTACATTCAACTCCTCTGCCCATTTTCTAATCGGATTGCTTGTTTGGTGTTGAGTCGTATGAGTTCTTTACGTATTTGGATAGTAACCTCTTGTTGTTGATTGTCTTTTTGTTTTCTTGGTGGTTTCTTTCACTGTGCAGGAGCTTTTTAGTTTAATATAGTTCTGCCCATTTATTTTTGTCTTTATTTCCCTTGTATTTGGGGTCAAACCCATAAAATTTTTTCTATGACCAAGGTCCATAATGTAGTACCTATAATTTTTTCTATGTAATTTATTGTGTCTGATGTCATATTTGGTTCTTTGATTCATTTTGAATTGATTTTTGTATAATGGGACAAACTAGTAATTTCATTCTTTTGCATGTGGCTTTCTGATTTTCCTATTGCCGTTTATTACAGGGCTTTCTTTTCTCTATCACCATTTATTACAGGGGCTTTCTTTTCTCCATTGTATGTTTTTGGCTCCTTTGTCAAAAATTATTTGTCCATATACATGTGGTTTTATTTCTGAGCTCTCAATTCTATTCCACTGGTCTGTGTGTCTCTTTTAATGTGGATTGCATTAAATTTGTAAATTGCTTTGAGTAATATGAACACTTCAACTATGTTGATTCTTCCAATCCATGAACAGGTAATATCTTTCTATTTCATTGCATCTTTTTCAATCTCTTGTAATAATGCTTTGTAGCTTTCAGTATATAGGTACTTCATAGCCTTTCTTCAGTTTATTCCTAGGTATTTTGTTCTTTTGTTGCAATTGCAAAAGTAATTGTTATTTTCATTTCTTTTTCTGAAATTTCATTATTAGTAGTATATAGAAATGCAGTGGATTTTTGTACATTGATTTTGTATCCTGCAACTTTACTGTATTTGTTTATTGTTTTTATGGTTTGGGTTTTCTATATAAAGAATTATGTCATCTGCAAACAGTGACACTTCACTCCTAATTTGGATGCCTATTTCTTTCTCTTGACTGTGTTTTTTTAAATTTTATTTAATTATTTTTCAAGTACCGTTTTCTGTCTATTTCTCCCACCCCAGCCCACCCCACCCCGTGCTCCCCACCTCTCTCCCATTTCCACCCCCCTTAGTTATTGTCCCTGTGTCCTTTATACTTGTTCCTCTAAATCCCTCCTCTTTCTCCCTTTAAATTCCCTCCCCTCTCCCCTCTGGTAGCTGTCCCCCTATTTTCTATTTCAGTGTCTTTGTTTTTATTTTGCTTGCTTGTTTGTTTTGTTGTTTAGCTTCCTGTTAAAGATGAGATCATATGGTATTTGCCTTTCAACACCTGGCCTATTTCACTCAACATAATGCTTTCCAGTTCCACCCATGCTGTTGCAAAGGGTAGTAGCTCCTTCTTTCTCTATGCTGCATAGAATTCCATGGTGTATATGTACCATAATTTTTTGGTCCATTCATTTACTGATGGGCACCTAGGTTGCTTCCAACTCTTGGCTATTGTAAATCGTGCTGCTATGAACATTGTGGTGCATAGGTTCTTTGAGATTGGTGTTTTAGGGTTCTTAGGATATAATCCTAGCAGTGGAATTGCTGGGTCAAAAGGCAGGTCGATTTTTATTTTTCTTAGAAAATTCCATACTGTTTTCCATAATGGTTGCACCAGTCTGCAATCCCACCAACAGTGAACTAGGGTCCCCTTTTCCCCACAACATCTCCAACATTTGTTTGTTACTTTGTTTATGATAGCCATCCTGACTGGTATAAAGTGGTATCTCATTGTGGTTTTAATTTGCATCTCTCTGATGGCTAGCGATATTGAGCATCTCTTCATGTGTCTCTGGATCTTCTGTATGTCCTCCTTGGAGAAGTGTCTGTTCAAGTCCTTTTCCCATTTTTTAATTGGGTTAGTTGTCTTCTTAGAGTGCAGTTGTGTGAGTTCTTTGTATATTTTGGAGATTAAACCTTTTGACAGATTGTTTTTATAGATACAGTCAAAGGTACTGCCCAGTGTAAGCCACCATCATCTCTCACTTAGTTGGCTGCCATAGTTGCTGCCTAATTTTCACTCTGCTTTTATTCTTTCCCCACACTCTACATTTTCTACACAAGAGCCAGGTGATCTATTAAAATGTAAATCGGATCATATCATTCTTCACTTAAAACTTTCAATAGACCTCCAAAACGCTTACAATGAAAATCCCAACTCCTGTTCTGGCTGGTGTGGCTCTGTGGATTGAGTGCCAGCCTGTGAACAAAAAGGTCACCAGTTCAATTCCTAGTCAGGGCACAGGCCTGGAGTTTGGCCCAGTTGTGTGACAGGCAACAGACTGATGTCTCTCTCACACATTGATATTTCCCTCTCTTTCTCTCTCTCTTACCCCTTCTCTCTGAAAATAAATAAGTAAAATCTTTAAACAAAGTTCCAATGCCTTAATATGGCCTGCATCATCTGGCCTTAGACTGATTATTCAACCTTAACTTGTATCACCCTCCTCCAGCCACAGTGGATGTCTTTCTTTTCTTCTAATGATGCAAACCTGCTTCTTTCCCAGGACCTTTTTAAATTTGCAGTTCCTTTTTATTTTTCAGCCTCAGCTCAAATGACATTTCTTCAGAAGAGCCTTCTATTACACTGTATCCTGGGGGCTGCAAACAAATGTTTCAAGGATCCAGGGAATAGGGTGTAGTGAATAAAGTAGTGCATATTTACCCAAGAAAAATGAAGACATCTCTCCACAAATACTTGTACAAGAATGTTTGTAGCAGGTTAACTCATAATATCTTAACACCAGAAAAACCCCAAATATACATCAATGGATGACTAAATAAACAATGATATACTCATACAATAAAATATTACTCAATAATAAAGGAAATGGAATACACAATCATGTGAATAAGTCTCAAAAGCATTATGCTGAATACAGTAAGGCAGGCAAAACAGAAAGTACTGTATAAATCCATTTATACAAAATTCTCCAGCAGATAAAACCAGTCTGGTGTAAAAATATAAGAACAGTGGTTGTATTTAGCGGGATTTACCAGGAATGAGTATGAGACAACATTATGGGATGTAGCAATGTTTATTGAAGTTTTAGTTACTACAAATGTGTACATTCGAAGAAACACTGAATGGTACACTTACAATTTGTCCATGTTTTTATACATGCATGTATATTTTAGGCCCCCCAAATGGTAAAATATTTAGGTGGATTTGTACTGATATCTGCTATTTACCTTAAAATGCACCCAAAATAACGTGGCTTTATTAAAGATGGATTGAGGGATGGGTTTCTGAACAGATATGTGATAAAGCAATATAGTAAAATGTTAGTGGTAGACTGTAATGGTGGGTATACAAATGTTTATTATATAATTCTTCCATCCTAGATGTATGCTTGAAATCTTTTATAATAAAATGCTGAGAAAGACTCCATAGTGTTTTTCAGAAGAGAAGAGAAAAAAGGGGCTAGATTGAGGATATAGATGACTTAAATTTTCTGCTCATCTACCTCTCTAGTTGACTTTGAATAAACTGACCTCCACTCCCGGTTCTTGTGTAAACTGGAAGCTTCTTGGCAATATCAACAAGCATCTGCTTTTGGACCTCAGGTCTCTCTTCATTTTCATAGCGCTCCTTGTCTGTATAGGATAAGTGGAACTGAAAGCAGAAGTAAGAAACAAGACTGTTTTCCAAGGTTAACAAAAAAATAAAAAACAACAATAATAATTTTATTTTAAATTTTTTATTTTATTTATTTTTAGAGGGGAAGGAAGGGAGAGAAAGGGGGAAACCACTTTAATATGTGGGTGTCTCTTGCACACCCCCTACTGGGGACCTGGCATGCAACCCAGGCATGTGCCTTGACTGGGAATCAAACCAGCGATCCCTTGCTTTGCAGGCCAGCACTAAATCCACTGAGCTACACCAGCCCGGGCTAATTATTTTGAAGAAAATATTTGTTGCTTATCCTTGAATCTCAGGTACCTATTTAGCTTGTAAGTTTCTCTGGATATTTATCTCAATGATCTTATCTGGCTTTTATCTCAATCTTGACACTCTGTGTGCTAAGTGGTATTGTTTTATAAATAAAATAAAACTTAGATTAAGTAACTTGAGATTTTTACACTCACTCAACTAGTAAGAAGCAAAACTAATACACAAACCTAGTTCACCTTACTCCAAGACTTGTGCCTTTTCCACTCCATTATACCACAATATGATATTGCATACGGATATGTGACACCTTGCTGACAGGACCCTACTGATGATTAACATATTTGTTAATAAGTTGTAAATATTTTTCATAAGTGACACTTTTGTAGAATCTAGATGAGACTGCTTGTCATATTATCTACATATTCTAATCTTGCAAATGAGTAGAAATTTAGAAATTTTCACAATTTAAGAAATCTGGTCCTGGCTGGCATGTCTCAGTGAATTGAGTGCTGGCCTGCAAAGTAAAAAAGAGAAGGAACTGAGTCTGGCTGGTGGAGCTCAGTGGATTGAGCATGGGCCCACGAACCAAAAGATCGTGGTTCAATTCCCAATGAGGGCACATGCCTGGGTTGCAGGCCAGTCCTCAGCAGGGGATGCATGAGAGGCAATCATACATTGATATTTCACTCCCTCTCTCCTTCCCTTCCCCTCTAAAGATAAATAAATAACATCTTTTAAAAAGACAAGAGAAGGAACTGATCTATGTCCAGACTTTCTGAGTTTAAATCTCTTCCACTTAATAGTTTAAAAAATCACTTTTAAAAATCAGACACTCAGTTTAAGTTTATTCATCTATACAATAGAGGCAATAATACCTGTTTCACGAGTTGGTGTAAAAGTGCTAGATGGTAACAAGTTATTAAAAATCTATTTTTGAGACTCAAGATGGTGTTGGAGTAGTAGGTAGAAGCTACACTCATCTCTTTGCAGGACCAAAGTGGAATTACAAATAAAATATAGAACAATCAACCCAAATAACCAATTGAAGGCTAGCAGAACAGAAGTCTTATAACCAGGGATTTACAAAAGAAGACACATCAAGCCCTAGATGGTGTGACTCAGTGAATTCAGGACTGGCCTGTGAACCAAAGGGTCATGGATTTGATTCCCCATCAGGGTACATGCCTGGGTTGCAGGCCAGGTCTCCAGTGGGGGGTATACAAGAGGCAATGACACACTGAAATTTCTCTCCCTCTCTTTCTGTCTCCCTTCCTCCCTCTCTAAAAAAAATTAATAAATTAAAAAAAATGTCCTCAGGTAAGGATAAAAGAAAAAAAAAAGACACATCAAGACTGCTCCAAAAAGGATGCCCAGGGCCAGTCATAGGCAGCATCTGACATCGGACTACACCATAGTCTATCCCAAGAAGCCCAGAACCAACACATCCAGTGGCCAGCTGCAGACAACATCAGGACAGGATCCAATTAGATTCACAAGAGGCATATCCAAAGGCATATGTTGGCAGGCACCAGACTCTACTGAGGAGAGTTCCACATAGTGTGGTCAGCAACTACACAGCAGTTAGCACACTGTGGTCAGGGTTGATCCTCACAGTTAGCAAGCCTGAAGGTTGAACCCATGCATGTACAGGCCAATAGTAATTAAGACTCAATTACAACCGGAGGGCTCACATAATCCACACAAGGGACATTCATGGAGCACCCAGCTCAGGTGATCAAGGAGACTGTGCCATCGGATCTGACAGTATACCTACTACATAAGGCCACCCTATCAAGACCCCAGAGAAGATCTACCTTGCACATACAGAAAAATCAGGAAAAGGCAGCCTAAATGGGGAGACAAAGAAACATGCCCCAAGTAAAAGAATGAGAGAAATCTCCAGAAAAAGACCTAAGTAAAATGAAGGCAAGTACAGAGGGGGAAAAATGGTAATTTGGATGCTCAAGGCACTTAGTGAGAACTACAACAGCATGAAAAAGGATATAGAAACCATAAAAAAGAGCAATTCAGAAATGAAGAATGTTATATCTGAAATGAAAAATACACTAGAAGGAATAAAAATAAAGCAGAAAATTGAATCAGTAATTTGGAAGACAAGGTAGCAGAAAACACCACATCAGAGCACCAAAAAGAAACAGGAATATTAAAAATGAGGATAGTCAGAGGAACTTTTGGGACAAAAGTGTAACAACAGCTGCATCATAGGCGTACCAGAAGAAGAGAGACAGCAAGAGATCAAGACCTTGTTTAAAGAAATAATGAGACTTCCACCCAGATGGAGGCATAGGTGGAAACATTGTGCCTTCTTGCACAACCACGTCTAAAAACAAAGTTTTAGCCACAAAAAAAAAGCAGCCAAACCACAGAAAATTGAACAATACGAGAGTCCGACAAAAATGAACCACTCAGCCAGACCAGTTAGAGGAGCGGAGCCAGCAGCAGAGCAGGCAAAAAAGATCCCCCACACCCAGATGCATGCAGGCAGCCAAGGGCAGATCTCAGGTGTGGGGTAGTGATGGGGGGACCCAGTGAAGGTGCAAGGTGGCAGGCTGATCACAGTCACACATTTGCACACAGATAAGCCAGCAAAGGACCAAGCAGTGAGACAGATGGTACAGGCCCTAGCAGCAAGAAGGAGCAGAGGGGACTGCCATTGTCCCTCTCTGACCCTGCCCCCACATACAACGTCACAAACCAGCGACCTGGGAGACCCTGCCCTGGTGAACACCCAAGGCTCCCCTCCTCATAAGTAACAGTCTCGAACAGATCAAAACATGGCTCAAGAACTCAGAGCCCCAGAGCTCATAACTCTAAGTGACCAAGAAATTGCCAACCTATCAGAGGCACAGTTCAAAACGCTGGTGATCAGCATGCTCACAGAACTGGTTGATTTTAGTCACAAATTAGAGGGACATATGAATGCTAAACTAACCGAAATGAAGGGAAACATACAGGAAACCGATAGTAATGGAAAGGAAACTGGGACTCAAATCAATGGAGTGGACCAGTAGGAAGAAAAAAATGACCAAACAGAAAAGAATGAAGAAACAAGAATTCAAAAAAATGAGGAGAGGCTTAGGAACCTCCAGGACATCTTTAAACGTTCCAACATCTGAATTATAGGGGTACCACAAAGGGAAGAGGAACAGCCACAAGTGGAAAACTTATTTGAACAAATAATAAAGGAGAACTTCCCCAATCTGGCAAAGGAAATAGACTTCCAGGAAATCCAGGAAGCTCAGAGAGTACCAAAGAAGTTGGACCCAAGAAGGAACACACCAAGGCACATCATCATTACATTAGCCAAGATTAAAATGAAAGAGAGAATCCTAGAAGCAGCAAGAGATAAGGGGATAGTCACCTAGAAAGGAGTTCCCATCAGACTGTCAGCGGATTTCTCAAAAGAGACCTTACAGGCAAGAAGGGGCTGGAAAGAAGTATTCCAAGTCATGAAATCCAAAGACCTACAACCAAGATTGCTCTATCCAGCAAAACTTTCATTTAGAATGGAAGGATACATAAAGTGCTTCTCAGATAAGGTCAAGTTCAAAGAGTTCATCATCACCAAGCCCTTATTATATAAAACGTTAAAGGCACTTACCTAAGAAAAAGAAGATAAAAAAGATGAACAGTGAAAGGACAGCAAACTCACAATTATTAACAAACACACCTAAAACAAAAGCAAACTAAAAGGACAGCTAGATCAGGAGCAGAACCATAGAAATGAAGATCACATGGAGGGTTAGCAACAGGGGAGTGGGAGGAGAAGAAGGGGGGAGAAGGTACAGAAAATTAGTACCATAGATGGTAGATAGAAAATGGGGGGGGGCAAGAATAGTAGGGCAAATATAGAATCTAAAGAACTTGAGACACGTGGTTATAAACTAAAGGGGGGGAAGGGTGGGGGAGGGGTGTGCAGGTGGAGGGCAAGAAAGGGGGTGAAATCGAGCAATTGTAATGGCATAATCAATAAAATATATTTAAAAAAAGAAAATTATACTGACTAACTCAAAAGTTTGTCAAAATTATTTTTAACTTAATAATGCTAGTACCTTGGGGCAACACTTTAATTTTGGTGGTATCTTTTGGAATATAACTTTCTGGTAGTTATAGTGTTACTGCTTGCATGTGATGAATACCTTGTGGTTATTTGACAAGTTGTTTTTTGTTTGGAATCATTGGCCATGCCTGGATGCTCAATTTCTGGCACTAACCAAGCCTTTTTGGGGATTAGAATACAATGAGCTGGCAAATGAAGTTTTGGTGGGGCATTTTGGTGGTGATAGAATAGGATATAGGTGATAGAAAAATTAATATTTTGGCTATTAATTAGGCCCAAAAGACTCACCTTTTCTTTTTACCAAACAAAAATTATAAAGACTTCCACCAAGATGGAGGCATAGGTGGAGACGCAGTGCTTTCTCACACAACCAAGTTTAGAGACAACTTAATATTAGCAACAGAAAACACAGTCAGAACACAGAAAATTGAACTTTTCAGAAGTCTGATAACAACAAATTCTTCAGCCTAACCGGTAAGAAGGGCGAAACCAGCAGCTGGCAGAGCGGGGTTCCACAGGAAAACTCGGACAGATGGACTCAGGCGCAGGGTTGGAACTGGTGGGCAACTCAGCGAGAGACCGCGGGGAAACAGCGAGGGAGCAGGGCTGCGGGTTGACTGTGGTTAGGCATTCGTGCATG